TATAGCTATGGTATCAGTTATTGCTAAACTTATGGTATATTAAAGAACTTTGTTTTCTCAAGTGTTCAGGTCTATTTAAGATGTAGGGCTTGAGGAAGACATTTTATCATTCTAATAACCCCCAAAGTACAGTTATTTCTGATGACAGACTTTTCAGGTTTACATTTATGTGATTGTTACATAATCATGTTATGATACATTGATGCAACTGCATCTTACATAGCTGGAACAATGTCATCATTATAATTAAAGAATAGGCATTGATAATCTTAATAACCCATAAAGTATATCTATAAAACAATAAGCATAATCTACTTAAATATCACTCTGGCAACAAAACAAATAAGTGATTAAAAGATAACAAATTAGCCTGGTCTGCATGCTGCATTGGTCCCAGTCCCGAAAGTGAACTGATCTGGGGACCGAGTCCAGGCATGGTGGCACATGCCTGTAGTACTAGAGCTGGGGAGGCTGAAGACAGGAAGATCACTATGAGTCCAAGCGGTATAGCAAGACCATGTACCAAATACACAAAATGAAAAAAAAGAAAGATAACAAATTAGGTGTAAGTTTATGTATGTCATTTAAAATCATCCATCTTGTAATTAGATGAAGATAACTGACCAAAAGGTTATTCCATACTAAGATAAAAATTTACACAAAAACCTAATGGTTCTATTATAATGACATCATCATGATTGTTGTGATAATATGTTATCCTTGATCTCAAGTAGTCTCTTTAAAGCTATACAACTGTTATCAGATAATATTCAGCAGGGATCCAACTTCCAAGACAACCATGATTGATGAGAAATAACAGTTCCCTGGTCATACTATGTATTTCACGGTGCTTGATATCTACCTAAGCTCATAAGATTAAATGATTTCTTCTTCAATAATTGGAAGAAATCATCTTGCCAGGTAGGAAAGATGGTTCAGTGTCTCTGTGGGGAGCCTAACAGTTCTCACTGCAGTACTGGTTTAAGCAATCTCCTGGGTGTTCAACAACTTGAGATACAGGGACAAAGCTAAAAATTGGGCTAAAAGAACAGCCAGTACTTTGGCCTTTATCCTCCATGATTAACAAGAACCCAGGATGGGAAAACTATCCTATAAAATCTAATACCTCTTTTACATCAACCAACCTCATGAGCAAAGAGATTGTTAGATCCTAAGGCACAGGAATCATGCATGATATAGAGTACTAAAATGGAGGGTCACTAAAGAAGGAAACATCTTCTATACTTTCACAGCAAATTACGTGGTCACACAAGACTGGTGCCAATCTTACTTGATCTTAAACACTCAGCAGAAGAGTACAACCAAAGATATAACACATATGGCAATGTGGACTAGAAATTAAAAGAGGGCTTCAATCACTGACCCATGCTGGTACTTTCCAGCTACACAAGATTCAAGTCTGAGAGCCAGCTCATTAAAATTTTCTTTTCTGTTCTAGTACTCATTCTTTGCCATACGTGCTTTAAAGTTTGTTTATTCTTGCCTAGAGACTACTCTTACCAAACTATCTATTCCACTTTATCTAGCTAACATGGTCCAGAGGAAGGAGCACAACAGAGAAGGAACTTCTGCTCGTGGAATTAGAAGGAAAAGGGGGTGAAGCTATGTGGAGTAAGGATTGTGAAAAGCTGCAGCCCTGGCTTTTCTATCAAAGGATATAAATGGAAGTGCTTCCTTCTTAAACTTTGTTTCACCCTAGCACTCCCCACTCCAACTCAGGCACCAGGGTTGCAGTGATCGCAGTTACAGGAATGTCTGCAGCTTGGACTCTGAACACCTGTGCCGAAGGCATTCATTTTTCTGTGCTTCTGAACCTTCTAACCACTCTACCAGGCCATCCTTCAGGTTTTGAATTCTGAAATTCTCTGTGGGTGACCCCTTTTCTTATTAAGGGCATAAAGGGGGAATTTAGAGGAACTTGGAAACATCATTCAGAGAAAAACAGATGCAGACCTTTGGCTTAGCCTTAGCTACTGTACACCAAAGGGGTAAGGAATGATTGTCTGCGTATATGATATGGATGTTCACTCTCTCAAGCCATGGGGGTGACATATGGCTAAAAGAATGGAATGTGTAATACCTGAGATCCATGTGGAGGAGACCACACACTGCTATCCTACCTACCACCACTGTAGCAAAAGTAGATGAGACAGTCCTGGATTCTATATATCAGAACAAAACCAGTGTTTTGAGAGTGGGAGTGTTTCTTTGACTCTTGATGCAATGTAAGTGAACAAATCGCGACCTCAGGAGCACCACTGGAAGATGATAGCACTAGTTATTCTGCTCACTACTGTACTCATCTGGAGGCGGACTCATTCATGCAAGGCAGGAGCCTGAGGCCACCACTGACTAGAATCACAGATGGGCTGCATCCTTTCGGTAACTGCATCCTTTTCCTGACTATCTGTAATGTACTGCCACCCCTTAATTTTTAACTATATTTGGTTAAACTACATTTAAATCACTATATATTAATTAGTCCTGCTTTTTGGCATAGCCCAGACTCTGAAGTTCCATTCTTGCTATGCATGTGGGGGAACGAACATGTGGGATCAATGGCCATGGGAAAATAGATCCTCATGAAACTTATGCTGACCTAAGTTACCCCAACTCTGTATCGTGAATTTGGATTCTCAAGGCCTCAATCATTGGAAGAAACCATCTTGCCTGGTAGGAAGGATGGTTCAGTATCTCTGTGGGGAGCCTATCAGGTCTGGATCAAAGGTCCTGCAGCTCAATTTCCTGGAAGACCCATGGTGTGGGTTTTCTGACTACTTTTAAGCCAAACACTACCCCTTGTCTAAGTTTTCTCATTTAAGGGGGCCCTGGGATGATATCAGTGAAAACATAGATTGGAAGACCAGAAGTGGAATGTATTAGGTATGCAGAAGAACCTCATATGCTGTACTCCCCCTTAATTGGTTATGATCTTATGCATTAGGGTTGATTTGCCTGGCTTTCCTTCTTTTCCCACTTACTAGGGGAGAACATATGGGACACCCAGTGTATGGGGGCAGAGAGATACAAAGAAAATAACACACCTTGCACATTAGCAATTGGGAAGATAAGGAATGGCCCACTCAGTGTGTAAGTCAGTATTGTTCTCCTGCCACCTGGGCAGAGGATGGGTCCAAGGGTTACCACATTTATATGCTAAATCTCATAACTATACTTCAATCAGTTGCAGAAATTATAACTAATGAAACTGCCAAAGATCTTGTTAGCCAAACAACAGACCAAAATGTACTATCAAAATCATTTGACTTTGAGATACCTGTTTGCTTCATGTTCTAACCCAGGGCTGAAAATGTTGGGAACACCAAGGAGCTATTTATGGAGTGAGTTTTGTCTCTCAGGGGACTGAAAGCCCTCCTGGGTGTTACACTCCTGCTTGATCCTGCCTTGTCTGGATCCCTTGGTCGCATGTGGTGTCATTGGCCTCATTGAGATGATGGGCAGAAGAACAACAGCCGCACATATAATGACATTATGGAAATATAAACCTATGAATGATGTTCAGTGACCCAAAATGGGACAGTGTTGCAGCACCAAAAGGGTGAGAGTGGTAGTGCCCCTCGTGGAGTGCCAGGGCCGGAACTTTTTCCAATGAAGTGATAGCAGTTTCTGTGTATTCATGTGCAGTTTTCATGAAACTCTGTAGCAGCTTCTGTGTATTCATGTGCAGTTTTCATGAAACTCTGTAGCAGCTTCTGTGTATTTATGTGCAGTTTTCATGAAACTCTGTAGCATAAATCATACCCAACTGAACTTCAGAATGTAAGTATATAGCTAACTAGGCTACAAAAAGTTAGTATTTGTCCACATAAGGGAGACAAAGACACAGAAATGATACAAAAGTGTTCACCTATGCCTTGTTCAGCACTCTAATCTGCTGAGGCAGTGCTGCCATTGAATAAAGCTGTTTCCTGGGCAAAGGCCTCAGTGTCCCAGCTCTGTACATGAAAATGCCACAGCAGTAGTATGGAGCAAAGGTGATGGACCTGAGATGAAGATATTACACTTAACAGTCCCCACCTCTAGCTACAAGGGTATAAAATAGTAAACTTAAGAATCTTACCAAGGAAGAAACCAGTGATGGAGTTCTAGTACCTAGTGATTTAGGAAGGGCAAAGTCTATGCTCCTATAACATGGCAAATGTAAATGATAGCAGATACAACAGTAGTGGTGTGTGATCTAGACTGTTACAGGTGTTTCTGCCTCATAAAATTGCTGAAGGAGACCATGTTCCCATAGTTTTACTCTGTCATCTCTTGGTAGTGTGGCTAACTCTGCTTTTTTTCCGTGTGCTCTGCATGGAAACTGGCCTAACGAAAATGGCAAGCAAAGTGAACAACTTCTCATTTAGTGGATTATGGCAAAGGTATGTATCTCATTGTGTGCTGTGGGTGAACACTTACATATTTTTATTGTATGTGAACAAAAATATAATACCAGGTTCTAAACGATTTCCTTTGTCTCCTCATTCCTTGAATACGTTGAGAGTTTATTGTTGGCTTTTTCTATTAGCTAGTTTTCATCCTATGTCAGTGTGCTCTGAAGTTCTCAAATTTCTTAGATCTATAAAAAGAAGCCACAAACATCCACTTTACCACATGTATGCTGATTTTTCTCTGAAAAAAAACTTTGTTCATCTCTTAATCTATACCATTTTGTCCCTCTCATTTTAAAAATGTTTTTGCATTTTTGACTGTACATTATACAAAAAGGAAAAATGTGTTGATTATGAAATAAAGATGTTAGGTTTGTTATGAGCTCTTAGTAATATTTTTTTATTTTAGCTTATTAGTAATTAATGTAGTGGTGAAGTTAATGTGCAAAAGAGAGACACAATGAGTATTTGTAAATGTTTGATAGTTCAAATATCTATAAACTTGCTCTTAATTTTGATATCTGAAATATTTGATATGATTGAATTTGAATTGTTCCTTTCAATAAAACATCTCACAGCTACAAAATAAATGTGTAATGTGTGTATACTGATTTCCTTTATTAGAAAACATTAGATCAAATAAGTCATGCCCTCTATAGAATGTCATCAAAATCTAAGTATTTCAAAATATATATTTAAAAAATAGGTCCTTCTGCTGGATTTTGAAGTGGTTGGTGATGGGTATGGAAAAACTCTGGAATAAGTGGCTATGACAGATGATTTAAAGAATGAAAATCAGGGCAAGGACTGCTCCCTCACTGTGTAACAGGTTCATCCTTCTGTGTGCTTTTCATTGCTTCAGGTTAAGCCATAAGGCGAATAGGGAAAATTAAAGAAAGGTAAAATTTGTATCACAGAACAGAAGCTTGCCACCATTCAAACTAGTCCTTTAGAAATGGTGAACAGGATAGCAAAGGCTGGATGATGCCTGGCCAGGAACGCTGCAGACGGGACACGTCCTGGAATGTGATACTTTACAGTTCTCAGCATCCTTTCCATTCACCAGATTAGAACTAACCTTGCTTTGTTAGAGAGTTACTCTGTTGTTGTTAGGTGAGGGTAGCTGACCAAGAGAAAAAATCAAGTAGTGTGTGAATAATAATAATTAGAGAAAACAAGATATGTGTAGGTGAAGATTTGCTATCCCAGGTGAAAGTCTTACTGTTGTGAGACCACTGTTGTGAAAACAAGAAGCTGAAATAGGGCTAATGGGCAGGAATCAGGATTTAAGAACATTTTTATACCATCAAAATGAGAGGCATGGAAAGCTCTTCATGTAACCAATAATTTCATCCACTTTTAAGCTGAATTGCACGCTTTACTGTTCGAAGCTCCTGGCTGTTTGGCACAATCTGCCCAGAAGCATTCTCACATGCTAAGAAGAATGAGCACCTCCTTAACCAATTTCATACTGTCAGGATGAGAACTAGTTTTGATCTCCACAGAAACCTGAGTGTCCAACCTATGGCAAGGTGCATACTGAGAATGTAATTGGAATATGTAACTTTGTATTCACTCTATTATTTCCTTAAAACACTTTATTTCAGACTTGTTTACAGAAAGTCAACAAGAAACAAAAAGCTTTAATATCAAACATAATATGTACAAACTCATTAGACCTTGTCTTTACAGTGTCTCCTAAAGTTCATGTCAGCCTAAGCTCTCATAGACACAAAACTATGTAAATTTTAAAATAAGAATTAAATTTCACCAGGGTTTGCCAAACAGACCTATGATCTCATGAGGGGTAGGGCTGTGTTTTACCCTTTGATCTAGAAGTGAATTAACAAACTTCAATATTTCAATTGTGTTTAATTCCATATAGAATTAGATAAAATATTTATTTATTGAATCTAAGCATTTAAAGAACAAATCTGTATTTTATCCTTCTTTGTTTATAGATCTTTGTAGTGGCTGATACATTGTGTCAACTTGAGAAGTCAAAAGTTTAACTGAATCAGCTCAGCAATTCCACACCCAGACATGGACAGCCCACCCTAGACATACTCAGTACTTAAAGGATATGAAAGATATGAAGAAGGATGGAGAGTGTGACTTCCTGGGAGGACCTCTAGTCTTCCCAGTCAGCATGGAAGGAAGAGAGAGAGGCTTTCCAGAAGCCACAGCAGTGTCTCCCCTCCTTGCTCTTTGCTGTTTGCCACCACCATGAACTGCTGCCTTCCGTCATGTGCCACTTTGCCTTGGAGCCAGCTGATTATGGGCAGAAACCTCCACTAACTATGAGCTAAATAAACCTTTGCTTTCTTAATTTTGGATGTTGGACATTTTTTTCCCAGAAATAGGAGAAAAGTAACTGAGACAATCTTCTTTTTCTAGTTTTATTTTTAATTAATTAATTTATAATTCTTACAAGCTCTCACTACTCAACTCTGACTAGTAGTGATCCTACTGTCTCAGCCACCCCAGTGCTAGGATTACAGGCTGTGCTACCACACCCAGTTTTGGCGGTTGGCATGGTACACCTTGGGTTCTGGGTGCTCACATGGCATGTGGTACCAGGGATTGAACTTTTAACCTTATCTCCCTATTCTAGATTTTTTTTTGGTGGAACTGGGGGTTGAACTCAGGCCCTTGCGCTTTCTAGGCAAGCACTTATTCTACTGAGCCATCTTCCAGGGCCCCTAGATCTTTTTCTAAAGCCATACCTTAATTCTTTTCTGCTCAATAAGAAAAAAAAGTTGTTAAATACCAACAATATACCAAATTTCAACATTAACTAAACCATGATCTTTTTTCTCAGTGGATACTGAGTTTGCTTTATGCACCTCACAGAAAGCCTACCATTTTTGTATACTGTGCCTAATGGCTCTGTTTCCTGTAGCCTGAAGTGTTTTTTGTTTGTTTCTTTCTTTTTTAGTCCCTGATTTCATTCTAACTCTGAATAAAATAGTCAGGAGCACTTGAGACAGCATCATATCCCAGAAAAAATTCCCCAATTATGACTAAAAAGAGATGAGGTTCAAATATTTCATCTTCTCCCTGATGTAGCTACTTTAGAATGTTCGTTCCTCACAATCTCCATGATTTTAAAGAAAGATTGCTTTGTCATTAACTACTGTGGCATATGATTTAATAATTTAACTTTATTGGATTTCTTCTGCTTCTTTCCTTCATGTTTTATTTCTCTGCTGGTGTTGTCTGGTATTAACTTTCCCAAAACATTTTTAAGTCTAATCCTAATCATAGATCTTTCTCCAGAGGGACACAAACCAAGTACTCTTTAGGCAGAGTGAACAGAAGAGAATGTTACCTATTGGCAGAAAATCCTCTAAAGTTCCCTCGAGTTGTAGTGGGTGCTGTGAGTAGGAACAGTGCCTTCGTTCTGGAAGATAACCATGCCTGTTATTGGGAGTAAACATTTACAGACAACAGGGCCAGAGTCTGCCTTTGATGAAGTGGAAGTTCTGACACTCTCCAGGATGATACTGAAGCCCGGACCAGGCATGCTCACCACTTCTTAGGAAATATTCCCTTTCTTGACTCAGGGTTCTTTTCTTTTAACTCAGGTCTCTGTGTGCACAACAGTGACTTTCTGCATTTCTCAGAGGAAATTGAGGCTTGGTAGATAGACACGATGTGGATTCTCGGAATTTGCACAACCAAGGTGACATGATTATGTCTCTGACACAGGACTGTCCAGTGTCTCCTTTCAGTATCCACAAAACTGTGACTAAGTTGTTAGCTTGTAAATAGGAAAGTGTTGGGTTCTTCAGAGTTTTGGCGTACTTCAGTAAGTGGCAGCATTAAAACGTGATTAGTGCCCTGTCAGGAATTGAAGAAGGTGTTTACATCTCCAAGCAGAAAGAAAAAGGCTTGGAAGAAGTCAAGGTTATCAGCATTTGTGTTAAGATATTTAAAATAAGTTTAGAAGGACAGTCAGTATGACCAAGAGTAGCACTGATATTTATTATTGGAACCATAATAGGAAATATAGTGCACAGGACTTTTGTACAACGTAATAGAAATGATAAGGTAAGTCTTAAAAATTTTCTTATATTGATCATTATGTAGGAGATCAGAGACCTTATCAGAAATGTTGGACTCCGTACATTTTTACATGATGCCACTAATATAATTCACCATCATTTTTCCCTTGAATCCCTAGAAACAGAGGTATAACATAAGAGCTATTCTATCATCTCAATTGTAATGTTATAAAAGAGCATAAAAGCCTGGGGATATAGCTTAGAGGTACAGATCTTGCCTGACAAGTGCAAGGTCTTCAGTTGAATCCCCAGTACCAAAGAAACAAAACAAAAAAGGATGCATATTTGTCATGACATAGACACAGCTGTGTAGCCATGTAACTGAATACTACCCTTGCAGTACTATCCACAAATTCTGGTGTTAGGATAAAAGAATAACATTTGCTAAATTATAATTTTTTAAAAAATATTTCATACCAACTGCTAATCCAAATTTCATTATTAATTATTG